CAGGATGGTTGTGTCCCCACTGGCAGGATGGACATTTCTCCATCAGTAGGATGGAGATGCCCCCACTGGCAGGATGGACATCTCTCCACCAGTAGGATGGAGATGTCCCCACTGGCTGGATGGCCACATCTGTGTTCCCAGCCCAGAGGACCTGTGCTTGCCCCACCTGGAGCTGTGTGCCTGCTGCTCTGCCTCCAACCCACCCCCCCATCCTCTCCTGCCCCAAACACCCCCCTCAGCACCCTCAGCACAGCCCTGATGGGTCACTGAGCTTCTGCTATTAAGCAATTTAATCAACCCTGGAAGTTTTAGCATCTCAGGCTCCTGGGAGCAGGCAGGGGAAACACGAGAAGCCCCACCTGGCTTTTCAATACCTGATTAAAACCCCAGCCTTGCAAGCTGTCAGTGGGAAGATGTTAATACATGGCCTGAAGGAGACTTGATCCACTGACAACTGGGTCTGGATAAGCCTGTATTTTTATTTTGTTTTCCCCAGAGAAAGGCTTGTCTGCACACACTGACCTTCCCACTGCCTGGGGAAGGACTGAGCAGGATTTATCCCCCCCCTCCCCCCCCCTGGGTGGCTCTGCTGCAAGTGCCAACCATCCATCCAGCTGCACAGGGTTTGGGAAAGCAGTGCCTGGGTTTCCTGGGCATTTGGAGGAGTCTGGGGACACTGAAACTGAGGAAGGGCAGTGCCAGTGGGAGGTGGCAGAGGGATGGGGCTGTCAGACCCACCAGGGGTGGGGGAAGGAGGGACCTGCAGGTTTGCAGAACACATGGATTTCTAGCAGGGCAGCTGCCCATTTCTTCCTCCTCCAGCACAGAGATGGGTGACACGGGCTGATCCCCCTGCTCAGGGGACAAATGCCAATGGTGGCTGGAGCTGAGCTCCCTTTCCCTTGCCCCAGGCCTGCCCTGCAGGAACTGCCCAAGCCCTTGGAGCACAGCTCCTTGCAGCCTGTGGGTCAGAGCTGTGCCCTGAGACACCAGTGCAGATCCCTTGGGAAGCTCCCATGGAGCCCAGAGGTGGGAAGGGCTGCAGCCTCCCCCACTTGCAGACAAGCTCCCTGGGGCTTGGGCACATCCTGTGCTGAGCTGATGCCATGAACAATAACCTCTGCCTTCCCCACCAGGAAAGTGCCTGATCTCATTCCCAAGTACCATTCCAAACTGCTTCCAAACTGCTCTGGGTGGGGACAAGACCATCTTCCCCTTGCCCTTCAGCTGGAGAAACACTGGCTGCTCCTGCTGGCCCAGCCAGCAATGCCTTGTGTGTAACCAAAGCATTAGCAGGATTTATTCAGACAGGGAGACAAGCTCAGCACCCACTTGCTCTTTTCCAAACAACAATTTACTGCCTTGGGAAGCTGGTTTTGACAGTGAAAGAGATGTCAGGCAGACGACTAAATGGAGATGAGAAAAGCTGCCTTGTTATGCCTCCTCCAGATGGCACAGAGGGGATCCAGCAGCAAAACTCTGCCCTGAGTGTGGGCACCTCATGGAGCTCCTGTTGTCCTGGTCCTGCAGGAGCTGGGCACCTCCTGGGCCTCTGCTGAAAGCTGAGAGCACCCAAACCCCAGACACAGGGTGAACAACATGTAGGGGGTTGGCTCCCCTCTGAGCTGGTGCCTGCAGCTGGTGTTCACTGGCCCTGGTGGCTCTTTGCATGGGGAGGTGTGAAAAAAGGGTTCCTTCCAAAAGGGACTGGGATGGAGCAGCTCTTCCATTAGGACAGGTTGAGAGAGTTGGGGGGTTCAGCCTGGAGAAGAGAAGGCTCCAGGGAGACCTTAGAGCAGCTTCCAGTGCCTGAAGGGGCTCCAGGAAAGCTGGGGAGGGACTTGGGACAAGGGCAGGGAGGGATGGGATGAGGGGGATGGATGAAAACTGGGAGAGGGAGATTGAGGTGAGACATGAGGAGGAAATTCTTTGGTGTGAGGGTGGTGAGAGCCTGGCCCAGGTTGCCCAGGGAAGCTGTGGCTGCCCCATCCCTGGCAGTGTTGAAGGGCAGGTTGGATGGGGCTTGGAGCAGCCTGGGCTGGTGGGAGGTGTCCCTGCCCATGCAGGGGGCTGGATCTAGATGATCTTTAAGGTCCCTTCCAACCCAAACCATTCCATGGTCTGCCTTCCTGCCCAGGCTCTCAAGTGTTAATTGGATGTGTTTCTCCTGATTGCAGCCTGCTCCAGCTGACACTTCCCATTCTCCTTCCAGACACAGGGAGAGGTCTTGGCACTGAGCAGTGACACGAGCCAAACTACAGCTAGAGGGGGGTGTGGGTGGGTTGCAGTCTCTGGCTCTTTGCAGCCTTTGTAAAAGAGCTGAAACAGCTATGGAAGGAAGGAAGAAAGAACAAAAAGGTTCCCCAAAACTCAAGAACCCCAAGAGCTTTTTTTTTACCAGGCTCTGAGCCTTGTCTCCCTGCTCTGTGGCCAATGTTCTTGGCAGAGGCTGAGAGCTTTTCCCACTCCCTCCAGCCCCAGCTGGAGGGGGATGAGCTGGGGGTGGTGGCAACTGCAGGTGGGTTTGCACAAACCAGAAGCACCCTGACCTGGACATTCGGGCTCTGCTCTGTTTTGCCTTCTGTGAGTTATTTTAACCCCTCCCCAGGCTTTGCAGAGAGAACAGGTCAAAGCTCTGTCCTTGAAGAGCTTTCACCTGCAGAGCATCACTGCCATGAGCTGCCACCTGCACCCAGCAGGTCCAGCCTGGCCGGGCTGGAGCCAAGCAGGACTCAACAGCCCTGGACTGGTCGTGTTTATGCCAGAGAGAGGCCATGTCCCTGTGCCCTCCTGGCCCTGCTTTGACACAGGCTATGGCAAATCATGCTCTGCAGTGAAGAACAGACCTCCCTGACCTCTCTCTGACTGCCAAATTCCTGGAGAGCTTCAGCTGCAAGGGGAAAGAGAAGCCATCTGCTGCTCTGGAAGCAGCCGCTTCGCACGGGGCTCCCGGGCAGCCTGGGGAGATGCTCCCGTAGGGATGATGGTTCTGCTGGGATCTGGACGGGCCCCAGGAGGTCCTGCACTGGCAGCAGCTTCTCTTCCATTGGGAGGCACCAAAGGTTCCAGTGCCATTGCCTCAGCATCTCCCCAGCTCTGCAGACGTTGCTGTTTGACTCGCCGGGAGGCATCGCCACAGCCGCTGGTGGGGCTGCCCGACCTTGGACCTCACAGAGAACTGAGCTCCTTTCTCTCACCACCACATCTCCTGCAGTGGGATCAGCCACCCCACACCTGCCCTCACTGCACGGCTCAGCCACCAGAACTTGCTGCTGCTCCAGTGTTCACTGCACCCCACACGTGGCCAACACCAGCTGGGATCCGTGTCCCACCACCCATCGAGCCAAAGCTGTTCCAAAGATGAGGCAGTGGTCCCACCAACCATCTCATGATACAAAACCACTGGGTTTTTCAGAGCCATTCCCTGTGCCCATGAAGGACACGTGGTGACAAGTCCCCTGGGCCAGGGGGTGCAGCACAACAAGCTGAGACATCTTCAGGGCTTGGGCAGGAGGAGCCCGGGGGGTCTCACTCCTGCTCGGGGTGTGAGCAGCAAAGCCACAGACACAGTGTCAGTCTCTGTGACCTCCCCCTGACCCAGCAGCAAAACTCAATTAATAACCATTAGGAATTAATGTCCCCCTGCAGTGCTTTCCCTCTCCAAAGCATTCCACAGATATTAATTAATATATGCACATCCGAGGCAAACATCACCCCCCCCTGCACCACGCTGCCCAGAGACAGGCCTTAATGTCTTCTTGCCTCCAAGAAGATCAGGTCTGCGTGGTGGGAAGGGCTGACATCTCTCAGACAGATGGCTTGTAGCCTAATTAGCAAGCTAAGATGGGGCTGTAATTGGTGAGCAGAGCAATTAGCAGGATGGAGCAGTGGGAGCTTTGCACAAAGCTGGGCAGGTCAGAGTGGTGCTGGGTGGTCATGGCCACCAAGACCTCCCTGGGTTGGGGGGGCAACACCAGCCAACCTGGGGTGGTCCTTTCTGTAGGGGCCTTTCTCACCCATGTTCTCAAACCATGTTGACTGCTCTTAATGACCCCCTCATCCTTGATATGCCTAGAGATAGTGCCAAGAACAAGTTGTTCCATCACCTTTCCAAGGAAGGAGGTGATGCTAACCAGGTCTATAGTCACCCAGGTCCTCTTTCTTGCCCTTCTTGTAGACTGAAATGACATTTGCTGTCCTCCAGTCCTCAGGCACCTCTCCTGTTGCCCATGACTGACCAAAGATGATGGAGAGTGGCCCAGCAATGACCTCCACCAGTTTCCTCAGCACCCAAGGGTGTTTTCCACCTGGATTTATGGATGTCCAGGTTGCTCAACTGATCCCTAACCCAATCCTCATCTACCAAGGCAACCTCCTCCTTTATCCTGACTTCTTCAGGGGCTTTAGGGATCTGGGCCCTGCTAACTCCTGCCCTAGGAACCTTTGTCCCCTGCTGGACAGGGTCTTCCCATCCAACACCAGCAGGCCCAGTGTCCTGGAAATCAAACCATCCAGGAGTTTTGTCCCCTACCCCCTTCCAGTCTAGTTTAAAGCTCTCTCAATGAGCCCCCCTAAC